CCCCCCCCCAACGGGCAGCAGCGGCAGGCGCCACGTCGAAACGGCCGCTTTGAAATTGCTCAGGCCTGTGCGAAACCCGCCACCTCAAAAACCTGCAGTGTCTTGTGTCTGGACCTCTAGGCCATGTCCGGTGGGGTGAAAGGGCACTTAAAAATCACCCTGTTATTTTTCGAGGGGCGTCTAGGACCCGACAAACGTCCTGGGCCGCCCCATTTTTTTTTTAATTTTTGCCCCACGGGCCTCCATCCGGACATGGGGACCGGACACCGGACACCGGACTGTCTGGAACCCGATCCGGACGTCCGGGCGGTTACCATGGTTGAATGTGCGTGCTGATTTGCTGCAAGACAGGCACTTCCCCTCGAAGATGACAGTGCATCAGCCGTCACACTGATTCTCCTGCTATTGCAGTCCTTTCTTCCCTCTCCCCCCCCCTCCCCCCCCTCCCTTTGTTTCTTTTCTTCTGCAGTGACCCGCACAGAATGAGTCTGAGATTTCTGATGTTTTCTGATGATTGTTGCTTGCTGCACCGATCCGCTGAGATTTCCGTGTTCTGCTTGGATTTGCTGTGTTTTGCGTGCGGGACCTACCACAAACGTGCATGTGCCTCGCGCTTGTCTGAGTCCAACTCTGTGTGTTTGCGCTAAATTTGTTTTCCGTGCTGTGTTTGTGTACCTCGAGCTGGGGTAGAACGGTAATGGGAATAGACACGGGCAGATCCGAAATTTGCCAACAGAACAAACTTAACAGAAGCACTAGATGGCCGGGGCTAATTCTAGTGATAGGCCCGGTAGGCCTTTTTCAGCAACTCAGGTAGGGCCAGGTGGGGACCACCAGGCTCAGGGCGAAAATCCAGTAACTTCCGAAATGTTAAAAAGGTCCAGGGCATGTATATAGACAGGTGCTGGGGTAGATTCAGGCCCCTGGGGGGTAGTTGCGGGCGGCAATAATGTTCCTGCCAAAAGGCAGGAACTTCCAGTAGGTCCAGCGCACCAAGGGAGGGCGAGCTACAGTGGAATTTGGCCAGAAGTCACTGGTAGGAGAAGAGTGTATCATTTGGTGTCTAGGGCAGGAGAGGCCCTTAGAGGGACTCTTCAAGTGCGCATTGTGGTGCTCCGCCCAGAGGGGGAAGTTGGCGGAGGAATTGGAGGAGAAATGTGGAGCTGGAGGGTGAAGGTGAAGACCTCCATGGCTATGGAGTAGTAGTAGTAGTAGTAGTAGGGCTCAAACGTGGCGATGGTGGTAGACGGTGTGATACCCCACGCCATAGGCAGGAGAAGGGCAGTAGACGGGAGTAGGAGGTGCGAAAGAGTGAGAGTGAGAGGAACCGACATAGAGAGACTCACCTTGGCTATGGTTGACCTTCATCTTCACTTCCTTGGTTGGTGTTTGATCATGAAGGCCCTGGCGTCAGTCCTGGTTGGTCTTCGATGTCTTCCGACAGGAGTGTGGCTATGGCGGGAGGAGATGGGACTTCCATAGTTACTCTAGTGTTTGCGTTGTCCTTTGAACATTCATGATGAGCATGGATGTTCGCCCAATGGGCATGGCATGTACCTAAGGTGCTATGAAGAGGGGATAAGTGAGGTTAGGGATGAAACATGGTCTCTGGAGTTGCTGGCGGTAAAGGGGGGAGCACTTGGACATGATCGCCGTTCACTGTTCAGTCATTCTTTGTTGATCCATTTAATTGATTATTTAGCGGAGGACGAGTAATGGAGAAGAAGTGGGATGAGGAGAAAGAATGAAGGGGAGGACATCGGTGTAAACTTGTGTAATCCTCTGCATCTCTTGTTTGATTCTCTTCTTTCTACTCTACTCTCCATCTCTCTCCATCTCTTCTTTTGAATTTCAGCTAGTCTTGCATTTGTGGCAAATTGAGTTTTCCACTCATAACACCTCCGTAAAAAGGTCCGCCCCCTAACCTCTTTCTGTCTCCCATAGAAAGGACGTAATGAAAGTGTGCTACTACATAATAAGTGTCATGTAGAGCAATGCCAAGACCCGAATTAGCTACTACAATTCCAATAAGTCCCCTCCTATGGTAAACAAGAAGATGAATCCTACATGCTTCCATCAGGATTTGAACTCGTGTTCCGTTTACTAACAGGTACCTGTGCGTACCACACAGCCATTCTAAAATATGAAGGGAAAAAAGACAGGAGTAGTGAGGATTTGTTTTTCAATTTTTCTCTCAAGTAAGAATAATGAGGATTAGCCTTAAAGGAAATTTAAACCTGAAAGGATACCAAAGGGCCTATCTCAGTTGGTACACCCTTTGAACTTTTGGAAATGCAGACTGGAATTCACATGCAGGTGGGACTAGATGAATGAAATCAGTAAAATAAAAAATTACACATTGTGAACAGCATGCGGTGGATGGGTTTGATCGACTTTGACGAGGATATCTCAAGGCTGTCGCCCATTTTTTTTTCTTTTTTACTCTTTTTCTTTTGAGCTGGATTGATATGGAGACGATTAGCATGGCTCCTGCGAAAAGGAGGAAGAACGGGGATTTTCAATTGCCAAGTTGAGGCAGAAGTCGAAATAACGAGGATCTTTAGTTTTGCACTGCTACATCTGGCGGCATCTTCAACTAAACTTGTCGCCCTGTTCTCGCAGGATGAATTGATTGCCAGAGCAAAGAGAGCGATGTGAGCATTCTTCATCCTCAGGCTGTGTTCGAGGCTGAGAAAAACATGGTTATGGAGGGCAGGGGGTGTTGAGGGGCCAAAATCCTGAAGCCTATATGCTACTAGCAGCTGGACAGAAGACCACACATGCTGGAAAGAAGTGCTTAACATTACACAACACTCTCGCACAGAGGCTAAAGGCGGCCTGGATTAAGGATTTTGATTGTTGGCCTCGGTCCATTGCACAACATCTTACATGCATTTGGTCACTTATGAGATCATGTACATTTGTAGTGTTGGACTCGTCCAAATGCACCTGGTCCTGAAAGCGGCCAAATGCATGTACTTTTTCTTGAGATCCTCTTGCTAAATGTAGAGTTGTGTAGTCGAGCGAGGCCTTCCAAATGCATGTAGAGTGATGTGTAGTGGAGCGAGGATATCAATGGCGCGGTTGTTTTGATAAGCCGCGATGGCAGCCTGGAGCATTACATCTACGTCAACAAAAAAAGGGGCAATGTCAATCTCTGTGGCGGCACCAACGCAGCATCCACTTCACGATGTCGATTTTCGTCTCGGATTTAAAAGGGGATGCAATTTGTCGATGGTGGATATCGACTGACATTTGCAAGATCACTGTCAACGACAGATATTGGCTGACATTCGAAAGATGAGGGGACAGAAGAGGAGGGGTTGTTGCACGGGAGAAGAGAGTCGTGCTTCACAGAGGAGGAGACACGCAGACAAGAGCAGTCGTGCTGTGTTCTTCGTTCTTTTTGCCGAACTACTACGCCATGCTCTGCGGATGGGAGTTGCATCGGTTGGCTGGATTGACGACTGTTGAACTGCCAGTACTTGGCCCAGCTATCGATGCTGAGCCGGGATGCCCCCTGCGCGCCAAGTTTTGCCGAGCCGCTGGGGCACCGTTTCGTTTTCATTTTGGCTGGGGCTTCCAGCCATTGTGGTTCTGTGGCCCGAAGCCCGCAACTACCGGCGCGTTAACGTCGAAAGCCCGTGGCCGATAGCTGGGCCAAGTACTGGTGGTGTAAAAAGATAGAGGGATGGGCGGAAAAAAAAAAAAAAAAAAAAAAAAAAAGGCGATTACCGAATACGTTTTGCAACTCGCGACCATGTCGCAATGAAATCTGAGCTGCGGGAAGCGAGGGGAGAGAGTCGCAAACGGAAGAAGATAAATGTCGTACTCTCCTTTCTGCTGAGAAGAATGCGGATAGAGTCGTCATTGATTGCTGCTGTTTATTGGAGCATCCAACCCAACCCAACCCAACAGCTATGTCCCCATTTCGCGGTGAGCACTCTGTACATTTTTTGTGATTATAAGTGGTTATAAGTGGTGGACCTGTGGACTTGAGTGTTTAAATTTTTAAAAGTTTAAAGACATACGTACACTATGGCCTTTTTCCATGGATTGCTGGACGTAATTGTAGTCGCGTAAATCTGTATCCGGCCATAGTTGCAGTCAGACACATCCAGAAAAGCGTCCTGGCAGGAGTAACTTTTGTTCCCTGACAAGACTTGTGGTCTCCTCCGTCCACTGTAGGGGACACTTTTTTTTGTTTGTTTTTTTTTGTTTTTTTTGGATGCTTGTGTTTGTGCTCACACCCTGTGGGCATGTCCGGATTTAGCCAACCTCTCTCTCCTGTTGGACTTCCTTGCGCCCCCGCGGTAGGGATCCAGCCCACATCACGGCCTTCAAGCACAGCTTTCACCACAGCGCCACAAGAGAGAGCGAGAGAGAGCGAGAGAGAGAGAGAGAGAGAGAGAGAGAGAGAGAGAGAGAGAGAGAGAGAGAGAGAGAGAGAGAGAGAGAGAGAGAGAGAGCCGCTTCCAGAGGGCGCCTCCAACAGCGAGCAACGGTCAGTTCAGAGGGCACTTTGGCACACCGCATGCTGGACCCCGTGGTGGTGCATGATGCAGATATGCATTGTAGTCCTGCACCAGGTGCAGCATGCGGTGTGTCAAAATGCCCTGTGAATGGACTGTCACTCACTGTTGGAGCTGCCCTCTGGAAGCAGATCTCTCTCTCTCTCTCTCTCTCTCTCTCTCTCTCTCTCTCTCCTGTCTCTTATACACATCTAGATGTGTATAAGAGACAGCTCTCTCTCTCTCTCTCTCTCTCTCTCTCTCTCTCTCTCTCTCTCTCTCTCTCTCTTTGTTTCCTCCGTCACTGAAGTCAGTGTGCCGACTTTCAAATTTTGTAATGATCAGTCTTCTCTGCAGAGCAGTGCAGACCCACCCACTGTGAGTCCTTCCTCTCTAGGTCCACCGATTGCGGGCCCACCGAATGAGGGGATCATTGTCGCAGGTCTTGCTGTAAGAGGGGATCTAAATTTCAGCATCTTGCAAGCTCCAAGCAACCTTAGGGTTTAGGGTCCAGGGATTAGCATTTAGGGTTTAGGGATTAGGGTTTAGGACGCACCTCCTTGCAAAACTTACGTGTATGATTCTGTATATACTATATAATACATATTCCTGTGTGCCTACCTGCCAGCCTGTCAGGCTTTTACTACCTGCCAGCCTGTCAGGCTTTTGCTACCTGCCAGCCTGTCAGGCTTTTACTACCTGCCAGCCTGTCAGACTTACTACCTGCCAGCCTGTCAGGGTTACTACCTGCCAGCCTGTGAGGCTTACTACCTGCCAGCCTGTGAGGCTTACTACCTGCCAGCCTGTGAGGCTTACTACCTGCCAGCCTGTCAGGCTTACTACCTGCTAGCCTGTCAGGCTTACTACCTACCAGCCTGTCAGGCTTACTACCTGCCAGCCTGTCAGCCTGTCAGGCTTACTACCTGCCAGCATTATCAATGGGCCTCGCTGCACTACTCTCCACATGCACAAAAGACAAAAAAAATGGCAATGTGTCCTTCGGGACATCTGTTAAAATTGGAACGATACAGAGAAGATTAGCATGGCCCCTGCGCAAGGATGACACACATAAATCGAGAAATGGTCCAAATAAAAAATAAAAATAAAAAAATAAAAAAAAATGGCAATGTATCTGTCCGGGGTGGATTCAGTCTCATTTTGCACATTTGGAGAGTAGTGCAGCGAGGCCCAATATGCACATTTCGTGAGTGGTGGAGCCAGGCCCTAAAGAACCCACGGCGGGACAGTGGTGGGAGAAAACGACAAAAGTGAAACAGCGTGCACAAGGGCCTAGCTCCACGGCTCTCCACATGCACAAAAGACAAAAAAATACGGCGGTGTATCTGGGGATGCTGGGCATATCCTGGTGGAGGATTCACTTTCAGGGCCTCGCTGCGCTACTCTCCAAAAGTGCAAAATGAGAATGAATCTTCCTCCAGAACATGAACAGATGCACCACCATTTTTTTTTTGTCTTTTCTGCATGTGGAGAGTGGTGCAGCGAGGCCTAGCTCAGTTGGTAAGGCTCGCAAGTGGCATTGAGGAGGTCGCGGGTTCAATCCCCATCGGCCTCATGCACCTTCCTGGGCACGCTTGGGCCCCCCCACCTCGCAATAGACGACTGGATCCCCTGATCCGCATTGAGCAGAGTCTGCTGATGTTCGTAGGGGAGGGGACCTGAGAGGAGGCACAGGGATTGGCACGGTCCCTGATGCTACCGGCTGTCCCCTAGCCGCTATCGCCCCCGACCAGCCTTTGGCTTTTTTTTTTTTTTTTTTTTTTTTTTAACCATGAATGCTTGGTGTTGCGGTTTGGCTGACGTGGCCCTCCTTCGCCGTTTCATCTAACCCCCACCTCAGAGCCGCGGCTCCCTGAAAACTGGGCCCTGGCCTTTTGCAATTGCAACCACGAAAAGTTTTTGCAAAGTCGGATGGTGTCCGGCAGGGGTACATTGGAAAGACGGGGTCCAACCGAAGTCTGGGGTGTTTCACAAAATGTTTTTGTCGAAGTCCTTCGCCGCAGTGTAGCTGCGGCAGGTCCACTTGTACTATATAATACATATTCCTGTGTGCCTACCTGCCAGCCTGTCAGGCTTTTACTACCTGCCAGCCTGTCAGGCTTACTACCTGCCAGCCTGTCAGGCTTACTACCTGCCAGCCTGTCAGGCTTACTACCTGCCAGCCTGTCAGCCTGTCAGGCTTACTACCTGCCAGCCTGTCAGGCTTACTACCTGCTAGCCTGTCAGGCTTACTACCTTACTACCTGCCAGCCTGTCAGGCTTACTACCTGCTAGCCTGTCAGGCTTACTACCTGCCAGCCTGTCAGCCTGTCAGGCTGGCTTATTACCTGCCAGCCTGTCAGGCTTACTACCTGCCTTGTCCTGTTTGCTGTGGATTGCACATCATTGCGTATTGCGTAAGATGAATTCTAAGGGGTGGATCACTGGACCCCACTGCCGTGTGGAAAGTTTGGAAGAGTTCTTTTGAGACTCCACGGCTGCGTTGTTGTTTCTACTCTTCCCACCCTTAGGCTTCTACGCATTCCACCCAATCCCTATGCCTCCTCTCCGGACGGGATGGCTCAACCGAGAGTGTACCCCGTCCCCCCTACTCTCTTCGTTAGCCATCCCGTACGGAAAGATGGCACTGGGATTGGATTGAGTGCTGTAAAAGCGAAACTCGACTTGGCCTTTCGGCGAAGTTTTCCTGCTCCGGCAACAAGAAACTACCAAGGAAGCTCCCTAAAATTGCTGTGGCGGTGGGGTCCACTTCCTCTTTTCCCTTCCCGTAGGCGACAATTTGTGCGTTTTAAACATTTCCAGACCTTTCCAATGTGCTTTTCTGTGTGACCCTTCGCTAAAATTTAATTTCGTCTTTACAACCAATGGCTGACTGATGACTGGGACCACCATATGGCGGCTACGAGTCCCGGGCTAAGTTCCCCCTTGAACCCGTCCCCAAAAAGCTCTAGAGTCCTGGGCATGGTATCCTTAAAGGGGGACTTTTAGCCCAGGACTCGGTTTCTTTTTCTTGGGGGGGGGCTCGACGTTCTTAGAGTCCTGGGCTAAGTTCCCCCTTGAGCCCCAAAAGAACTCGTGTCCTGGGCTAAGTTCCCCCTTGAGCCCCAAAAGAACTCGAGTCCTGGGCATGGTATCCTTAAACCACCAGTACCTTTCCCATATGTCGGCCGCGGGAACTGCGCGCCGGCCCGAAAATTAAGACTGGCCGCCGATTCTTTTTATCGGCGGCCGCCCTTTCGTTTCAGGCCAGCGCGTTACCCGGCGTGGATCTGAAAAAATACCTGGGAAAGGTACTGGTGGTTTAAGGGGGGGACTTAGCCTTTGGGACTAGACCTTCTTTCTTTTCTTTTCTTTTCTTTTTTTTTTCGTTTTTTTTTTTTTTTAAATGCCTGCGGTCCCTACAAGAGAGGGTGGTATGAGCAGCCCCCCCTTAGTATATGTCCTTAGAGGTGTCTGTTCTTTGGCTGGTTCCCTTTCAGGTTCTGCTGGTTTTGCCTTCTGCAAGGCTGCAGCATCCTTGCTCAAACCACCAGTACTTCCTAAGGTCGTGCCCGTTAACAAGCCACAATCTTAGGAAACGTACGGGACACTACAGGAGTGTCCAAATTCATCCGACTAGAAATGTTTCTACTCTATTTTTTTTCCATGGCCGATAGCTGGGCCAAGTACTGGTGGCTTAAGATATCTAGGCCCAGCTATCGGCCATGGCAAAAAAAATATCTCCACTTAAGTCCACTAGTCATTAATATGCACAAAAGACTAAAAAATATGGCAGTGTATCTTCCCATGTTGTAGTGGAAGAGTGATTCTCATTCTGCACATTTGGTGAGTAGCGGAGCGAGGCCAATCGACTTCATTCTTTTTCGACTTCATTCTTTTTCGACTTCGTATCTTCACAGTGCTGTTTTTTTTTTTTTTTTCCTTCTTTATTTATTTTTATTTATTTTTATTTATTTTTTAAAGTGAGGGCCAGTGCCAAAGGCACATTTTACCAATACAATACAAGAACTCACGCCTCTTCCCATTAAGGCTGGAAGAGCCCTGACCACTGCTCCCTGGAGATGGCATCCCCCCTATTGACTACAATCACGCTTGGACTGGAGGCATTGATGACTTCCCCCTTCGGGAAGAATTGACCCCCACCCATCATTAACATACAATTCAGATGAAAAAAAAAAAAAAAACTACAGTGTCAAACCACCAGTACATCTGGAGAATTCGACTGAGCCTCTTCGAAAAGTTAGGGGACTCTGGACAGGGCCCGCTTGGGGGCGGGCGGACTTTTTTTTGTTGTTTGTTTGTTCAGGGATGGGCGTAGTGCCACCCCATGGCATGGGATACTTTTTTTTTCTTTCTTTCTTTCTTTCTTTCTTTCTTTCTACTGGCCCTTCGAACGCCCTGTCCCGTGCCTCCAAAAATTTAGCAGAGGCTCAATTGGACTCTGAACTTGGCTGGGCCCACGTACTTGTGGTTTAATCCTGGAAGCTGCGGAGCCAGCGATTTATTCAAATACGCTTAGCATGTCGACAGCAGGTCGACCAAACCGCCGACATTAAAA